TCTCTCAAGTCAACTGCATCTCTCTTGTATCTTGATTGTGGAAAAAAGAGAACTCTTCTCTTCATAGGAATAAAGGTGTGGTTCTGCCAGTCTGCCAGTGGTATTGAAAATGATGGTATTTAATATTTAGTATGCTCCTTCTCACAACAGAAATGCCTGCAAGGAACTGGAGCTTCCACATCTCTCAGGTCAACTGCATCTTTCTTGTATATTTATTGTGGCAAAGAGAGAACTCGCTACAATATGAGTGAGGGTGCTCAATATGAGGGTATTTAATATTTGGTATGCTCCTTCTCCCAAAATAAATGCCTGCAAGGAACTGGAGCTTCCACCTCTCTCAAGCTAACTGTATCTCCCTTGTATATTTGTTGACTTTATTGTGGGAAAGAGAAAAAGGGAGAATTCTATTCCATTCGTAGGAATAAAGGTTTGGTTCTGCCAGTGGCATTTAATATGAGGGTATCTAATATTTGGTATACTCTTTCTCCCCAGTCTCCAAAGGTTCCTTTTTTATAAATATCGAAATTACCCTAATAGATTCAGTAGTTTTCTTTCATATATATATATATATAGATGGATAATGTTGAAAGTAGGTGTCCGATACATATTATTTGCGTCTCAATTTTAAGGATGACGTCTCAAATCTTTGGCCTTGCGTTTCCTTATTTAAAGCCCTTGTTAAAGTTGTTGCGAGTTTGCAGGAAATTTCTGTGATGATAGGCTCCTTATAGTCTCCTACAAATATCCTTTATTGAAATTATTTGCCTTTATGATGTTGCAACACTGGTTTAATAACCCCAAACGTGGGTTCCTGGGGGGGGGGGGTAGCATTTAGCCTAAGCTAGCACTGCGAAATCCATGTAAAATTCTGTAAAAAGTTGGGTCTTGGTGGGGGGGGGGAGCCTATATATATATATACATATATAAAGGTCCGCGTGCATTCCCCATTTACATATTTGTACCTTTCTACGTGAAGGCAGTCCCTTGACTATGAAACCGTCAATCTACATTTTTTAAAAAAACAGCACTATGTCGAAACAGAGGTCCGGATACTAAACCCTTATACCTTAAATCCATGGGGGAGAGCATTTTCAATGGATAAACGGATCAGGGTTGAATGGATTAATGGTTTAATATATTTCTGGTCTACTGATTCAGAAGTCTGAAGGTTTAGTATTTCGACCTTTGTTGCGAAACAGTACTGTAGCCTAGGAATCTGCCCTGCAAGGCTACGAAATGCGGCGGGAGGGGGGAATGCTCTCCTTCCTAGATATAGATATATTTCTGTATATACATAGACATTGCCACGAAGTCTTGGTGGAGGATCATTCTGTATCAGGCACCGCTAAACCCTAGCGTAGAAGCCTGAATGAGTACTAGTAGCATTCCTTGTACATGAAGTTTCTACATGACTGTAGCATATTCTTCCCCGAAACCCAATTCCAATTATTCAGTTCCCTGCATTTGATTCCATCTGGGAAGATAACACGGAATCCCATGTAGCCCAATTCTAAGAGGCCGGTCATCTTTGTGTGACCTCATACATGGAGGATTCCGTAGCCACAGGTCTACATCAATTAGCCAAACTCCTGAACCGTCAACTCTGCACTAGGGCCTCATGTCAAACATGTTTTGATTGCGTAATCGCGACAAAGCAACAGACCGCGGCAGAAAACCTACGCCACTCATAGAGCCTTGATGGCCAGGAAGAACCAAGAAAGCCCTTCGCGGCGACAAAGCCTTGGAAGAATCTCGTCTAAGCTTACCTTCCCCCAACCTGGAAACCTGAAATGGAATTCTCTAGGCTCCCTTCAAAGAAGAGATTGTCTTTGTAGAGTCCTCCTGATAGTTTGTGGAGCACCAAAGTTCTTGCTGGGAGTGTGGCCTTTTGATTTCAAGGTTTTGGACTAAGAAGCTGTGGGGCTTAGATGTTGCGTGTTGTGCTTCAAGCCGTGAGTTTGTGCGGTCTGAACTGTTTTTTCTAGAAAT